CTTCGCGGGGTGGTCCTTTTCCCCGCGGCGGGGGGGGGGGTGGGGGCGCCCCCCCCCCCCCGCCCCCCCCCCCCCCCCGCCCGGCCCGGCGAGGGGAGGGGAGAGGAGAGGAGAGAAGAGAGGGGGGAAGAGAGAGGAAGGGAGAAAAAGAAAGAGCGAGAGTGTGTGGTGTGTTTCAAGGCTCTGGGATGAGAAAGCAGGAGAACCGGGCACGCCCCACTCCATCTTTCCCTTCGGTTCCCTACACAATCGGATACTGGTGCCACTTCCGCCGTAGGCTTTCTTCTCAAGCCCCAGGTCAAGCCCTTCAAGCGCTGCCCTGTCAGACTCACCCAGATCCGACGACAGCTCCAACCTCCTAGTAAAGAGAAACCCAAGGATGAGGACTGCCCCTCAGTTTAAGACTAGGAAAAGGAAGTCCCTTCCTTCGCGACGACCACCGGTGACCAGTCTCACTTTTCCCAACCTTTCTTTGCACGTGGGTGCTATACATGGGCAGTCCGGGAGGTGTAGTCTAATTGCAGAGAGGACGCTTAAAAACGAAGCGAGCCTCTCAGCTTGCTGGGAAATGTAGTCCGTCGCTACAAAATGACCTGAAAACGGGAAATATGGACATAAGTAGGAAATTCCGGGTGTGAAAGGCATGTCGGGAATTGAAGGCGAAAGACGGGCAGATTCGCAGGGTACTTTCCTGTAAGTGCTTTGCGTGGAGGCCACTGGGAGTTGTAGTTCACAGAAAACAACACTCCATTTTCTTGGTGGTTATGACTTCCTATTCAAAGCAAAGTGATCCATTTCTACGTGAGATTACAGCCATTGTGTCCTGGCTCTTCTCTGCTTGAAGGACCATGACATATTATAAAACCGCCCCACCTTTGTAGAGGAATGGGTAATCGTGGGTCCTTTCAATACTAAATGAGCTAAACAATCTATGTAAAGTGGAGCATACTGGGAAGTTTCCATGGTGTCCACTTCCCACCTGCCCTCTCTTCCACCATCAGTGGACTGGCAGGCTTCTCTAGCAAAACCTAACAACTCGCTCTTTGGCCACTCACCTTCCTGCCCTGATCACAGCAAATCTAGTGACTGAGAGAGTTTTGGGTCTGCTATCCCCTGTAACCTGTCTGGTTTGTAATGCCAGGAACTTGGTTAGTGAACTAGTCAGTGATTAGGAGAGCCTGAAGAAATGTCCTTTGTTCTTAGGATGAGTATAACTAGAAAAGTATACCTGAGGCCATCAGCACCAGATTTGTCATTGACCTCAAACTCTACCTATGAGAAAGCACAGTTTTGTCATTTTCAGCCTGAGATGAAGGTTGGTATGCCTGGCCCAACCTCTAAACTAGCCTCTCAGCAAGATGGACTTGGTGTGCATCCTCTCAACTGTTGTTTCCTGAGTGTCTCATGTAGCCCAGGCTCACCTCAAACTTGCTAGTTTCTGTTCTCACTTCCTAGGTGCTGGGGTTCAACATCAACAAGCCTGGTTTATGTGGTGCTCCAGACTGACCCAACCCCTAGGGTTCACTGCATCTTTTTTCTTTCTTTCTTTTTTTTTTTTTTTTTTTTTAATGTTTTTGTACCTTCCTTATTTTTTCCGGAGACAGGATTTATCTGTATAAGCCCTTCCCCTTCTTTTTTTTTTATTTTTTTATTCCATGTGCTTTGATCCTTTGCCTGCATGTATGTCTGTGTGAGGGTGTCGGGTCCCCTGTAACTGGAGATACAAACAGTTGCAAGCTGTCATGTAGGTGCTGGGAATCAAACCTGCATACTCTGAAGAAGCAGTCCAGCTGCCCTAGCCTTGGATATTTTGGAGACCTGGCACTCCCCATCACGACATACCATTGTAATTTTAAGTGTAGGAAATGTGCGCTGGTGCCTGTGGCGGCCAGAAGGTGAAGGTATTGGGGTGCCCTGAAATTGGAGTTACAGGTAGTTGTGAGCTGCCTGATGTGAGTGCTGGGAGCCCAGTTTCCTTTGCAACTGCCAAGCCATCTGCAGACCTTCAAGTGAACTCTGAAATTAAAAGTCATGAATTGAGTTGGGCAGTGGTGGCACACACCTTTAAACAGGAAGGCTCCAAAGCTACACAGAGAAACCCTGTCTCAAATATCCAAGGGAAAATAAGTCATTAATTCTTGAGTTTGGGGTCAGCTGGACTTCGAGTTCCAGGACAGCCAGGGCTGTTACACAGAGAAACTGTCAACCTTTTTGGGAAAAAAAAAACCAAAACTTATAACTCTTGCCTAGAAGCCTTGTCTTATTATTGAGACAGGGTCTCACGATGTAGCCTTGGCTGTCCCGCAACTCACTATGTAGACCAGGCTGGCCTTTTGCTGAGATCCCATGTGTGCACCACCACGCCTAGCTAATTCAAGCTGACACGTGGTTAGCAACCTAACTAGCATCAAATGGTTAATTTATCCTCCCTAAACTGTAACTTGAAGGTCCAAGACTTTTCTAGAACCAAACCACTCACTTCTTCCCAGCACGTTAGAGACTAAAAGGATCATGAGTTTGAGACCAACAGGGAGACCCTCTTCACTTAGAGATCACTTTAAGGTCATCCTCAACTATATAGTTAAAATGTATCTTGGGTTACATGAGACCCTGACTCAGACAAAAGTCACACACTTTCCATGACTATTTGTGGATCCTCTTCACACTCCATTTCTTTCTTTCTTTTTTTTTTTTTTTTTTGAAGTACTAGAGATCAAACCTAGGTCCTCAAGAGTTTCTATATAACCGACTTTGTGCATAACCGCACAAAAGCTTGCTGCATACCTGCAGATGATTTTGTTTTTCGAGACAGGGTTTTTCTCTGTGTAGCTTTGGAGCCTGTCCTGGAACTCAGTTCTGTAGACCAGGCTGGCCTTGAACTCACAGAGCTCCACCTGCCTCTGAATGCTGGGATTAAAGATGCACACCACCACCGCCTAGCTTGACTTTAAAATAATTTTTTAAATGTATTGGGCTGGTCACATAGCTCAGTGGGTAAAAGTACCTACTGCATGATGACCTGGTCCCACATGGTAGAGATTCCTGAAAATTGTCCTTTGACCTTCACAAAGGCACACAAAGCAAAATGTAATAAAAATTTAATTTCTGTGTAGGAATATTTTGTCTCCATGTATTGTATGTACCACATGTGTGCCTGGTACACAGGGAAGTCAGAAAAGGGTATTGAATTGGATCCCTTGGAGCTGAAGTTATGGATGGTTCTGGGTCAGTACAGGTGCTGGTAACTGAACCTAGGTCCTCTAGAACAAGTACTCTTTAACTGTTAAACCAACTCTACAATTACCATATAGTATGGGTTGGTTTCATTTTTAAATTTATTTAATTAATTTATTTATTTATTATGTATACAATATTGTCTCCATGTATGCCTGAAGGCCAGAAGAGGGCACTAGACCTCATTACAAGTGGTTGTGAGCCACCATGTGGTTGCTGGGAATTGAACTCAGGACCTTTTTTTTTTGGAAGAGCAAGCAGTGCTCTTAACCTCTGAGTCATCTCTCCAGCCCTGTGATTTTTTTTTTTTTTTTTTGCTATTTTCTTACAAATTGTTTTTTAAAGTTTTACTTCATGGGATTAGAGATTTAACTTTAGCAAGGCCTTGGTTTTAGTCCTCAACTCTGAAATAATTCATTTATGTATTAGTGCCAGCACCTGTGCCGCCACACACCTGTGGAGGTTAGAGGACATCTTCCAGATCGTTGAGCCAGGTGACAGTCTCTTTTCTGTGCCTCAGAGAACACCCAGCTTTTCTGATCTCTGGAAGAAAAGTCAGGTCATCTGGCTTGTGTGAAAGCATAAACTTCTGACACCCCACCCCCGCCGCTGCCTCCACCTCCTGTGTGCTGGGGCTATAGCCATGCATCATCACACCCACCTTTTCCTGACCCCCCATCTTCTGTGTGCTGGGGCTATAGTCATGCATTATCACACCCTTTTTGCCGTGGTTGGGGACCACATCCAAGGCTTCTGATTTGTGAACACTAGACAATTTACTCTACCAATTGAGGTATGTGTGTCTTTATGTATATCCTTAGCCCCTTAAAACCTATTTTTATGCAATTTTTTAATGTGTACATGGTGGGGGGTAGGGTGGTTCGAACATGGGATTTTTGTACAGCCCAGGCTGGCACTCATGATCCTCCTGCCTTCCCACTAGTGAGAATACAGACTTGTGCTACCACACCTGCCTCAAAAATATGTTAGACTAGTTGTGAAGAAAAGGCTCAACAAGCAGTTGCTGCTCTTGCAGAAGACTTGGGTTTGGTTGCCACAATGGCTTCTTCTGACCTCCTAGGGTACCAGGCTTGCATGTGATGCACATACGTAAATGTGGGCAAAACACTCATAAAATATACCTAATAAAATTATACAAACGTTTTTGACCCTCAAAGACACTTGCAAGGGTAGAATGGATGGTGTGGGTTTGTGTGGTCTTGTGTGGGAATGGACACCGAGGAAGAGATATATTTGTCCCCCTTCCCCTCTCCAGTTAACCCAGACACTCAAAACAATTAGTCAGGATCCAGGATAGTAATCAACGGCTTTATTTTCCTAGAATTCAAATTGTCTATGGTTCTCAGAGCTACACTTCCAAAGCTACAGTCAGCAATTTTTCTTCAGAGCCCAAGGGAGGGATAGGAATAAAAGAAGGAAGGGGGCATAAGAAATCCCAGAAGAGGCTGGGAGAGAGCACTTTTCCCGGTATTCAGTGGGCTACAAACTAGATGTGTGCCAATGCCAGAGGACCAACTCCGGAAGAACATCAAAGCCCCAGCTTCAAGGAGTCATCAACTTGAACAGAAAGAGAGCCTCCCAGTGCACCCCAGAAACGGGTCAGTAGTGGGGGGCACACAAAGGGCTGGGATTAACAGCTTGTTTTTTTTTTCCTTTTTGTAATTTTCTTTTATTAAAAACATTTCCTAAAAAATGTATCTTTTCCTTTTTGTCTGGGTGATGTGTCTGACTAGAGGCCGGCCTTGAGCACAGTGGGAAGAGGGAAGAAGGCAGCAGGGTCTCCCCACGTTACCCATCTCTGACCTGAGATCTAGAGAGACACCACAAATGATGAGTTAATCTTTCAGATTATCAGCTCTCCAGGTCCTTGACCCTAACAATGTGGAAACCCCAAAGTCTTGATGTTAAACTACAACTCCTTGAACCCTAGGGTTCAGGGGAAAAAAAAAATTCTCAAAATCATCAAGGATATATGGATGAGAGCCTCTTTCCCAGTATCCCTTTTGAGCAGATGGGAAAATAAGTGTAGGAGCAAGAGCTCAGGAGATGCCACCCAAGAACCCATACTCAAGTTAACATTCCATCACCCCACTCCTGCCCCACCCAGCCCAAAGATCTAGAATACCTGCAAGGAGGGCAAAGGTGTCAAGAGGTGGAAACAGCAGCCCAGACCCCAACACAAGTCCTAGGAGACAAATCTAAGAAGATATAACGGCCCCATTTCATTCCAGGGCACACGACCCTGACTCAGATCACAGGATACAGGAACCTGGAGGTGAAGATCAAGCCATTCTCCAGGAG